TGTTATATTATCTAGCATGCATTCAATTGTCAATCGGGAGATAGCAAAGCTTAAAACTATAATACATCAAAATAAAAAACGTATTGCTGATCTTGAATCAGGGGATCTCAAAGATGTTGATGTGGTTGATGTTACAATAGGAGCTGGAAATGATGTCTTTTAAATCAATTACCGTAATAAATAATATCATTCACGAATTGGAAGCTAAAGTGAACACATTGAATAATATTACTAATAATCAAGTAAATAGAATAAATGAATTGGAAAGTCGTCTTAGTTCATTAGTAAGGTCATTGTTGCATGATAAGGAAAGGATAAAAGAAAACGCAAAAAAGATATCTGAAATTGCTAAAAATGGTTGATAAAAAAGAAGTTATTGCTAAAAAGCTTCATCGATTAGCTCGTAATAATTATCCGTAACTCCTATTCTTTTCCGCTTTACAGCATTATTTATATTTGTTAAAAATGTGGAACGCTTCACGATTTTGCGTGTCATCCTTGCGCAGGGGCCATGCAAAATCGTGAAGCGTTCCACATTTTTTTAACAAATATAAATAATGCTGTGATGCGGGAAAGAATAGGAGTTACGGATAATTTATTACGTGAAGCGTTCCAACATTCAAGTAACAGGATTATTGGTAGGAAAGGATTGAGAAAGGATTGTGGAGAGGATCATCTTAATGTGAGTGTATAAAATATGCGAGAATAAATTATTAGATAGCTCGGACTGGGATTCGAACCCAGAACCTTCTCGGACAAAAGAAAGAAAGGGACGGTGTGTCCATCTTCCTGTTGTCGCGGCGTCCCACTGCGATTGCCATCGTGCAATGCTGTTTTGCCGTTTTTCAGCTCTGAGTTCCTCGGCACTTAGTGTGGTTGACCTCTTTCGTTGGTAAAGGTTCCGTCTTTCCTCAGCTAGAACTCTGAGCGGTAGAGTTCCGGAAATGACACACACTGCTACTTCTGATATCGTGCGGAATGCACTGGCTAGTCTTACAGCGCTCAGTCTATATACTGGTCCTGCTTTTCTCCATGATTCTTGCAACTTCAGCGCGTCTGCCCAAATAGATATTCCATATGTGAGCACCGATGTGACAACTGATGATAGTAGTTGTCTCCTGCTCTCCTTTGGGCCTCCAACGTTCGGCATCAGTCGTGCGAGACTAGCCTTCACTACTGACGCTTTGGCACTGACGTGTTCCACTTGCTGTTTAAAGTTGAGACGGGCATCAAGCATCACTCCCAAATATCGGATGTAAGGTTGTGATGTGATTTCTTGTTCGCCTACTTTCAGCTTGATGGTCTCTAACACTTTTCTGCTGGATATAAGCACTGCCTCAGTTTTGTGTGTAGCCAGATGCAGGTTTACCGTATTCATCCACCGATGGACTCGCTCGAAGGTGATGTCGAACATGTTGTTAATCTCGTCAAGGTGTTTAGCGACGATTACTACGGCTACGTCGTCTGCATATGCTACGAGTTTTATACTTCTTGGCAATTTCAATCTCAATAGGCCATTGTACATGATATTCCACAGCAGTGGACCAAGTACAGAGCCCTGGGGTACACCTCCGGTAATATCATACTCTTTTAGACCATTCTTCGTGTCGTATTTAAGAACTCTATCGGTAAAATAGCTGGCCACTATTCTACACAGGTATTCTGGGACGTTTTTCTCTCGAAGAGCTTGCATGATGCAGTTCTAGTTGGCGGAATTGAAGGCGTTTTTAATGTCTAATGCCGCCACCAGGCATATTCCAAAAAAACGATTTTTCGAAAATTTTGTTTTTGAGATTTCTAAAAATCTAGCGAACCGAATCAATTCAAATTTTCACGAAATTTAATGGCTATGATACTCTTTGGATCACCACCGATGTCGATCCGATCGGCCAAGCCGTTCAAAAGTTATAAGAGGTTTACATACACACATACACACACACACACACACAAAAAAAATTACTTGAGTCCTGCGACAAAGACGCTAGACCGAGCGAGAGCGTCAGCCATCTTGTCCGTGCGAGAAAACGCTGAGTAGAGGACACACAAGGTCGCAGCTAAAGTCTCTTAGTCATTGAAATAGAATAAACTCGAGTAAAATAAAATGTTTCGTAAATTCTGAAAGTTAAGTTTTAAGAAACACAAAATAAATACAATAGGATAATCTCTTGTCGAAATTTAACTTTTGCGTCGAAGAATATGTCTAGTAAAATTACCGCCGCTACTGGGTAAAATAAAATAACTCGGAATAAATTAATTTGGATCGGATTAAATAATGTACGAAATTTAAGTTTACTCGAACCGGAATTTATTTAAGTTTGCTAAAACAAAGATCAAATTTAATTCATAAATTACTCGGATAAAATGGATTTAGTCCTGGCTATTTTGAAATTTAAATTTAGATAATTACTGTTGAGTAATTGAGATACGGCAGTAATTTAGGTGATAAGAAATTGTTAATTGTATTTGAAATTCGGAAAATGATAACCGGAATTTTGGAAAATTTAATTAGATAAATAATATTATGGAAATTATTTTATTTTGTAATTCGAGCGCTCTTATTATTATTGTTAATGAGGAATTGGTATAGAGTGTGTTTGTGTGAGCGTAAAGAGACTATCCAGCCTCGGGTAGTTCTCTCAGAGTAGCGTGAAGTTTGGGGGACAGCGTGCGCTGTGTGGACAACGTGTGTAATCACGTCAGAGGTCCAGCTCAGTGGCGTGAGAGTCCGTGAGACCGCGCGAACTAAGTTAGAGTAGCGTTAGAGGTCCAGGGGACGACGCGAAGTAGATAGAGTACCGTGAGAGTCCAGTAGGCATCGGGTACTACAGCCACGTGAGGGTCTAGCTGGACAGCGAGAAATATACCGAATGAGTGTGAGTGTGTGTGGATTTGTGTCCATGAAATTTTATATATTGTAATACTGGCCATATTTTAATTGTAAGAGGGATTGGATAAATAAATAATTTTTGTTAAATGAATTTCTGTGTTTTGATCCTAGCTCCTTTCAGCAATTCTCTCACGACCCTGACCTAGCACTCCATGTTCAGGTCCAGTTTCTGGAAACTGAGAACAAAAATCCAGTGGCGCCCTTAAGAGTAAAAGGGGCGACCAAGGGAAACATAACATTCCGTTTCAATGCATAATCAGACGCATAAAACAGTTGGGCTTTTCATGTAATACCAATTATACATCTTGGCACGTTGGACAATGAAAAAAAAATTAATAATATCAAAAAATGGAAGGAATTATACTTCATGTCTCGCCCTTCGAGATTACAGATGTAGTACAGCTACTTCATGCCTTCAAATCACACGTTCAGAGTCTTAAAAACTTTTAAAATCCCGCCTGGTCGCTCCTTGCGCCACCAGGCGTTCACTTTCGTCATTAGTTATTTTTGTGCCAAAAGAATTACACGTTCGAGAAAACGCTCTCGGATAATTAAAAAATTTTCAGGTATTTTTACGTTTGTTTTAATTTAATTAAACATGGGGAAACACAAAAAGCGTTCCCACAGTGAAGAACGAGGTGAGGAAACCAAAAAATTACGGCGTGAGATGAAAGATCTGAAGGAACTGGTTATGAGGGTTTTAGCAACCCAACCTATACACGATGCTGTCAACATGGCGGATAGTGAAAATAATAACAACAGTTTACGAGGTAAAAAATTTTTACAAATAACAAATAATGGGAGAGTTCGTACGAGAGACGAGCCATATCCCAAAGATTTCTCGGTCAAGCCTGTATGAAAGACAGGACTAAGACTAAAAAAAAAAAAAATTAAAAAATTAAAATATTAAAAAACAATGAACCATTTACATATATACATATATCACACGAGAGGTGATAAATAAATAAATAAATAAATAAATAAATAATTCAAAAAAAAAAAACAATGACAATAATAAACAATTTATTCTTAACCGGCGTCCTTTTTTCTGGATTCTTTACAGACGACGCCTCAACGGATTTGTCTTATCAGCAACAAGGTCAAAATCAGGGTACTGGAGAAACACCTGAGACCCGAGATACAGAATCTCAAATCGGACTTATTGATTTAACTGGTAATTCTGGTAAAAGTAAAACACCAGAAAGAAACATTCAAGCATCGCAACAATAACAGACACAAGACACAGTGCAGGGCGAAATAGAAGGCTCAAAGAAGAAAATCGAGGAGCCTGGCTCGTCAGCGACCCTGGATGAGGATATTATAAAGATATTGGGTCAGGCGCCAGAAACTGGAGAAGCTTGTCAAAAAATTCATGCAGATGTTGCGGTTAGATGGAATGCATGGATAAAATCGGGCCTGAAAAAAGAGGAGAAAGAAAATCTGCTGAAAAAATACCCTCGAGGGGGATCCTGTCTGCTAGAGGCTCCAATTCTGAACCCGGAAATAGCGTCCACCCTAAATGAATCAGCGTTAAAGCGAGATAACTATTTCTGCAATACACAAAAACTAGCAGGGTCAAGTCTGTCAGCACTAGCTCCGGTAATTAATCTACTACTGGAAAAAGATAAAATCGACTCAAAGGAAATACTGGGCAACATTTGGGACGCAGCAAGAATCCAAGCCGAGCTCCACCACTCGCAATCCATCGCCCGACGCGCGTATATCCTACCAGGACTGACAAAACAGGTAGCATCCTCATTAGAGGAAAGACAAATCGATACGCACCTATTTGGTGATAAGCTAGGAGAAAAAATTAAAGAAATAAAGTCTATGGACAAACTGACCCACGATTTAAAAGTCCAACCCCAGAAGAAAAGCCTAACATCCAGTTCGGGAAACTGGAACGGCTCGTCAGTACCCCGCAGGCCGACGTTCGTGACGAGCCAGAAGTTCAAACCTCAGACTCCCAAGTCGGCTGCCCAAAAACTACCAGCGAGGCTTTCCAGCCAGAGCAGACCCAATCAGACTCCGAATCAGAGCTATCGTCGTCATCAATCGAACAACAGCAGCAGCACCAACAGATCACGAACCCATTAGGAAGAGAACAAGAACAGGTAAAGTTAGCAGGAAGATTGAAACATTTTTTAAAGGCTTGGGAACAAATTACACCGGATAAATTTATCCGACAATGTATCACGGGTCATAAAATTAATTTTAAAGAAATTCCATACCAAACGTATCCCACGGGGGGAAAAATCTGGTCTTCCCAAGAAGCCTCAGACATTCAGAAAGAGTTGGACAGACTCTTGACGATTGGGGCGATCGAAAAGTGCTCCGACACAGTCGATCAGTTCCTCTCTAGTTATTTCCTGAGAGAAAAACCAGATGGCTCCAAAAGATTTATATTAAATTTACAGGAGCTTAACCTTTTCATTAATACGGAGCATTTCAAACTCGAAGACCTCAGATCTGCCTGCAGGTTGCTAGAACAATTCATGTTCATGGGTTCGGTCGACATCAAAGACGCGTATTTCGCGATACCGATACACAAAAGTAATAGAAAGTATTTAAGATTTAGATTCCAGGCCCAGTTATATGAATTTACGTGCTTACCTTTTGGGTTCTGTGAGAGCCCATATGTATTTACGAAACTCATGAAACCAGTTATGACTTACTTGAGGTCGATGGGGTTTTTATCGGTTATCTACCTTGATGACATTTTATGTCTAGAAAATTCCCCAGAGGAATGTCATAAATCCTTGCAAATTACAATTGAGCTGCTAGAAAACCTAGAGTTTATAGTAAATAGAGTAAAATCAAATTTATCTCCTAGTCAACGATGTAAATACCTAGGCTTCATATTAAAATCTCGAAGGATGATAGTTGAACTTCCAGATGAAAAGAGAAATTCTCTTATGACACATGTAAAGTCCATAAAAAACAAAAAGTCATGCAAAATAAGAAGGTTTGCACAGGTAGTAGGCATGTTAGTAGCTAGTTGCCCGGGTGTTGATTATGGCATGTTACACTGCAAACTATTAGAGAAGGCCAAGCTAGAGGCTCTCGACCTTAGTGGGTTAGACTATGACAAAAATATGAACATCCCAGGCTATGTCACAAAGGACTTAGACTGGTGGTATAATAAACTGCCTTCAGCATTCTGAAAAATCAGGAGTTTTCAATTCCAAAAAGAGATTTTTTCTGACGCGTGTCTGTCAGGTTGGGGCGCTTTCTGGGACGGCGAGGGAGCCCACGGAGAATGGTCGCAAACTGAAAAATCTTTACATATCAATTATTTAGAATTAAAAGCAGCTTTTATAGCTCTAAAATTATTTGCAAAAAACTTACACTCCGCGGAAATATTGCTAAGAGTAGATAACACAACCACGCTAGCTTACATCAATAAACTAGGTGGTACGAGATCAGAAGGTCTACACGACTTAGCGAGAGATCTATGGAACTGGTGTGAACGTCGAGATCTCTGGGTTTATGCATCCTACATCGCATCTAAAGACAATGTGGAAGCGGACTCATTGTCACGCTTGTCAAATCGTGATACAGAATGGCAACTAGCTGATTATGCATACAAAAAGATAATTAAAATATTTGGTATCCCAGAAATAGACCTCTTCGCGTCAGAGTTCAATAACAAATGCATCAATTACTGTGCATGGGACAGGGATCCGAAAGCTTTCGCGATAGACGCGTTCACGATTAGCTGGAGGCCGTGGTTTTTCTACGCTTTTCCACTGTTCGCAGTAATTGCCAAAGTAATTCAAAAAATAAAGCTAGATAAAGCGGAAGGAATCCTGATAGTTCCTTTATGGCCCAGTCAAAATTGGTTCCCAGCCTTTAAAAAGTTAATAATAAATAGTTGGATTACTTTCCAGCCAAACACTAATCTCCTATTTTCTTCCAGCTCCAAAACACATCCACTAAGTCAAAACCTTACCCTGGTGGCCGCCAGATTATCCGGCAGACACTACTAAACAAGAATTCTCCAGAAGAATCAACTGAAATCATAATTGCATCACTAGAAGACTCAACCCTGAAACAGTACGAATCCACGTACAAATTGTGGTGGAAATTTAATCAGGAGCTCCACTCCGATCCTTTTATCGTCTCACCGTCAAAAATTTTAACCTTCTTAACCAAAAGATTCCAAGAAGGAGCTAGTCATGGAACAATAAATACTGCGAAAGCAGCCTTAGCTCTAATCTCACAAGAAGAAATCTCAAACTCCAAGATCATTACTAGATTTATGAAAGCTACATCTAAGAAAAGACCTAGTAAACCTAGGTATGACGCCATCTGGGACGTAGACCCAGTTCTAGACAAACTCGCGGAGCTATATCCTCTCGAATCCTTAAGTTTGAAAGAGCTAACTAAGAAGCTGGTCCTGCTTCTGGCTCTAGGAACGGCTCACCGGATTCAAACGCTAGCTGAGATAAAAATAAGCAACATAGTGCAAACTGTTAAAGGCTTGGAAATAAAAATTCTAGAGCGCATTAAAACATCTAGACCAGGAGCCGTACAGCCTCTGCTAAAACTACCGTTCTTTAAAGAAAAACCGGGTCTATGCATAGCAAGTGCTGTAAAACATTATATATCCAAAACCGAAAACCTGAGAGGAAAGGAAGACATTCTTCTGATATCTTTCCAAAAACCACACACCAAGGTATCACGTGACACGATTGGACGCTGGATCAAAAAAGGCCTCAATAAGCTGGGAGTAGACGAGCGATACACCGCTCACAGCACTCGTCACGCATCAACGTCGAAAGCGGCTGAAAGAGGCGTCAACGTTGATGAAATAAAGAGGGTTGCAGGATGGTCGCGAAAATCCCAAGTCTTTGCAAGGTTCTATAATCTTCCGATTAAGGTTCAGGGAGACAACTTTGCCGAAAAGCTCATGCTACCATAATGGAGCAAAAAACTAAAATAAAAAATTTTTAACAAAAACTCTGAAGATCTACATCGGTAATCTCGAAAGGCGAGACATGAAGTATAATTGAACCATCAAGCGAGGCCGCCGAAGGCGGCCGAAGCTCGATGTAAATTATACGAATGTCTCGCCCGAGAGATTATCCACCCAATAACCTTTATAATTTGGTTTTAAATATTAAATGCATGTTAATACAAAGAATATATAGCAATCTTCCTTTTTTCCCCAACCCAATCTCTTAAGAACTATTAAAAATTTTTTCTTTTGTTAGCAAAGGACACAAACTCTAAACAAAATGACGAAAGTGAACGCCTGGTGGCGCAAGGAGCGACCAGGCGGGATTTTAAAAGTTTTTAAGACTCTGAACGTGTGATTTGAAGGCATGAAGTAGCTGTACTACATCTGTAATCTCTCGGGCGAGACATTCGTATAATTTACATCGAGCTTCGGCCGCCTTCGTCGGCCTCGCTTGATAGTTCAATAAAAGCAAATAAAGATTTATTTGTAGAAAAACATAACGAATATTAAGAAAAGTAAGCTAACAAACGACCGTATAATTTTTACCTCTTTTAAATAAACTGAAGTATACGGTCGTTTGTTAGGTTGTTTTCCATAATATTCGTTATATTTTTTTATAAATTAATCTGTATTTGCTTTGATTCCCTCCATTCTTTAGTATTATTAATTTTTGACTTCCCACTAAGAAGATTTTAAAAAAGCGGGAAGTTATTGGTTTTACCCGGTTTTGCAAAAATCGAGCTTCCATCAGATCTTAATGTTTTTCAAACCCTAAAATTATCGCGGTTTGAAAATTAAAAAAATTGTGTTTTATCAAACTTCTAATATATTTTTGAGCTCAAAGAGCTCAAAGGCATAGAAGAGCCATCTCTTTGAGCTCGGAGAGCTCAAAATAACACATAAATTGTATTTTTGAGGTCAAAAAGTTCAAAAACGTCATAAATGCAATTTTAAGCACCTAGATATGGAATTAGCGGGAAGTTGCAGAGATGGCCTTTCGGGTTAACCGTTTTTCTAATTTTTTTTGAAGTTATACTTTTTTAGGCGCGTTATGAAAAATTGATGAGAGTAAAATTTTACGATGCGCGTGCACCGTGACACAAAATTAACAGAATGAAGTTGGCCACAGAATAGAATTAAAAGTATATATTTTTTTAAATGACTAAGTTAACTCATATACAGGTTAGTTGCAAAGTATCCAACGAAACGTTGTTATTGCACGCCTCATAGCGCGAAGCGCGTGAGGTTGTGCTTTATACTGGACTCGTTAAGATCAAGCAATTTTGTGATCTTTAAATGCCTCTATCACAACCATATTACACTTATACAATGATATAAGTAGATGTACACCGAAAAAACACTTAAATTAAACCATCTGTTACTTTCTAAAATCATTTCATGTTGCTATTTTGAAAAAAAAAAACGTTTTGAAAAAAATTTTACGTGGACGTCCGGATATCACCCCATTTTGGATGTACCAACGATTACTCCCGAACAAATTGATATTAAAAGACCGGATCTTTTTTATTAGTTTAAGAATTCGATGAACTGGGTCCGTATTGCATATCAGTAGCCTAGCTTACGTATTTCTTTTTTAAATTGAATTTTCATTAAAATTTACTACGATACAACCGTACAAAGCTAAACGAACTTTCCTTATTTGTCACGTGAAAACTATGGCGCCACTTGATCAAGCTAGATTTTTTTTTAGACTGCGTGCGCGCACAACAAGAAGAAAGGGCACCGATATTTAAAAAAAAATAAAAAATACTCTGTAAGAAATTACTTAATTATAATTTTTTAATTAATTACACAATTAATTTTTTTTTTTTAATGAATGAGTGCTATGAGGCGTGCACTTTTGGATTTTCCAAACTTTTTTCAAATTCGATAGAAATACCATTTAATATGAAATATATTATTTTCATAATTTTCCGGAATTTTGTTGGAAACAAAATTTAGTTTCGTACAACAATATTTGTCTTTTAATTCATGTATACATTATTTTTGAATAAATATTAATTAAAAAGATATTATCACTAAGTTAAATAATAAATAATGAATTATTTTATAAGAAACATAATATATTTTAAATAAATAATTAATGATACTGAAGTTAGCCGGCGTTTTTAATTTTTTGATTTTATCTTTAATAATTAAATTAGAACAAAAAAATACTTTTTAAAAATTGCACTTACAGTTTTTGAAGTTTTTTACAAGTGAAAGATTTTTTTTATTTTTTTTAATCATTTTTTCAATAAAAAAAAAAAATTCTCAAAATTTTTATAAGTCAGCTAACTTAATTTTCATAATTAAAATATTTTATAATTATCGATTGTAAACTATTGATACTTTGAAGCTCCAAAATTAGTTTATTTAGAAAAATCTTTAATAATACTGAATTAAATTCATAAGATAATTAATGATTTTATATTTATACGGTATAGCTAAATTTTTACTATAATAAAACCTATTTGATTGTTTTTAACATTTTTCTTTGATCATTTTTGTATTTTTTTTTCTTTAAATTTTTTTTTATTATATGCCAAAGAAGTATAACTTCTGACGCGTGTACATAAGTACACACACCATTTTTTTCTTTATATTCAACGTGTCAAGATGTATCATAGGTATTACATAAAAAGCCCAACTGTTTTATGCGTCTGATTATGTATCTTGGCTTTAAACACGAGATGCCAGAGCCAAGTGATCATTTCATGAACTACCTAGGCTGATAATGCAATTTCAATATTCTTCACTAAACGCCGACGCTTCGGGAAGTGCCTAGGTGATTTCGGTAGGTGATTTCATGAAATGGCGGATTTTGCGAAAAGACTATGACATGTATAAAAAGAAAATATTTTCTCGGGATATATCACACTACCTAGTATTATATCATTATCCCCGAGCAGAATTAAAATGAAATAGAAAATCAAATTGATGATACTTTACCAACTTTTGTAGTTTACCCAATTCTTCAGGAATTTGTGATAAATTTGTTCTATTTAACTTTAACCATTGTGTACCAGTCATTAAGCGCACAGAAGCTGGAAATTTCGTACTCTGAAAAAAGAATTAAAACATTATACAGATATTATGATTCATTAGGAAGTGTGTGTGTGTGTGTGTGTGTGTTTTTTTTTTTTTTTTTTTTTTTTTTTT